CTGTATAAAAAATGGAAAAATATCCTCGGGTGAGGATAAAAAAAGAAAAAAAAAAGAATAAAGATAAAGAAAAATCGCTGTCCATATGAGAGAGAGAGAGATTTAAAGATCAGTCAGATGCGTCAAACCTGTGCCAAAGGGACCTGTTTCAGTGTGTCCACTGAGGCTCCCAGAGGGTCCATGAAGCCAGCTCATGAATTAGACTTACTCCTCAAGCAAACAAGCCAACTTTAGAACTGTAAGCCTGTTATTCTTTGGAATGGGTCCTGAAATTTGATTCATTTGTGTTTGAGGCTTTGTTTAGTGGCTCCTAATGACAGACTCAAAATACTTGATGTAGGAAACTGAGAGCTTCTCAAGGCTGAGGAGGTGAAGCAGCCAGAAGGAAGAAAATGAACTGGGCAAAGGAAATGAAGCAACTTGGAAAACAGCCTGGGAGAGGGAAGCGCAGGCTGCAAACAGAGAATTCTTCCACAGGGCTTGTTGTTGGCACCTGCAGGCCCGTTGCCTGGGCCACACTAATTACTAACACAGTCCCTGTGAGGTCGGCTGACTTGGGACCGTGCAAGCTGGCCACACTGACCACTCTGCAACAGCCCTGCAGCAGGAGCAGCAGCCCCCTCCAAGCCACAGATTCCAGAGGCTGGGCTGACTTCGGGCGCACTTGGCTTCAGAAGTCTTTCTAGCCTTCCTCCCGGACAGAGTGGCTGGCACTTTTCTGGGAAACAGACGAACGGCTGATCTGAACTCCCAAGCACACACACGGGTGGATTGAGGATGTGGTTAACAATCCTCATATTAATAGAGGAAGAATAAATTGTCCTCTAGATTTGCAGCCTTAGATCAATCCATCGAGACACTAAGTCTATTTGAAAGTTGTGTTCTGTTCTATTCAAGTACTTCTTGGCCACCTAATGGACCACAACACAGAAAATAAGAGTCAGAATAAGCATGACGTTCAGGGTTGGCAGACATGCTGCTTGGGGGAAATGGGATGCTGCGGACTACAGGGGATGAAGGTAGGATGCTGCCCGGGTGTCAGACTGAAGAAGGCCACTTTTCCCTGTAGGCACATATGTGAACCCATGGAAGGTTTTATACAGGTAGGTAATGGAATGAAATCACTTTTTTTTTTTTTTAATTCCTCACTCAAGGATTGTTTTCCATTTATCATCAGCTAGGGAGGGGGAGAGAGAGAGAAAGAAGCATCAATGTGATAGAGCCACATTGACCGGTTGCCTCTCGCACGACCTAACCAGGGCCCAGGACACACTGTAACTGAGGTACGTGCCCTTGACCGAAATCAAACCACCACTCATTGGTCTGAGGGAACCAAAGGAGAAAGAACACTGACGCAGTGGATGAAGGGGTCCAGTGGAACTTCACTAAGCTAGAAAATACAGAAGGTAGGGTTTCTAGGATTGTGAGAAGCAAGGGGGATGCCTGACACGTGGCCAACAGCACGTAAGTTTTCCCTTCCTCTAGTGGGGGCTTGTGTGGTGGCAGTGGCGAGTACAGATGGAAGAGACATTACTTGAGCAAGAGGACAATATGGGCAAATACTTTGATATAAGGGGTTTAGAAGAGAAAAGAACCAGAGGAAAGTTGGGTTTTCAAATTTCAAAACTCGGGTTTGAAGTAAATGGTGTGGGCAGGAAGCGTGCTAGTTCTGAGAGGAAGGAGTTGGTTTTGGACACTGAGTTTGGATTTGAGATACCACAAGGACAACAGATTCAAGAGTCCCTGGCATAAGGGTGAAATCAGAAGTGGATCATGCCCCTCACTTTCCCTGGACATATACCTGGTGCTGGGTTTGTAAGTGTCATTAGTGTGTTTTAAGTTGTTTTTCTTTAAAAAGCTCCCTCAAGAGTTATACAGGTGCCAGGCCCCACAGAACCTGGACCCGTCCAGGTTGAAGTCAGAAGGCAGTACCATGGGACAATGGGAGACAGAGGGTTGGAAGAATCTAGTTACTGTCCTCAAAGGATGAGACGGGTCAGTAGAAGAGGCCAGAGAGGCAGAGGGGAGGTCTGTGGGCCAGGAGGCTGCAGGGGATCAAAGGAATCTGGCTGAGGATGGGTCAGGGGACTTGACCTCTCAAAAAAGTGACTGATTTTAGCACACACACTCACTCAGTATGTCGTGGTGTGGGGGGTCAGGTTGGAGGGGGGCTTGAGGAGCGGGTGTAGACCCTCATCTGAGTGGCTGACATAAAAGAAAAGGGGAGAATGTCGTTCCACTCCTCGCCTATGATATTCTGTCATTTAACTTTGCCTCTAGTCAGTTTTCCGTTCAGGTTAATAGTAACTCCCTGAGAACCGGCCTGTCTTTCTCTTGTATTACATGCCCCACTCCTGGAGATTGTCTGTGGTCTTAGTTGGATCCGTTTCTCTCCATGGATAGTGTAAGCCTGGTTAACCGCTAAGAAATGGGCTCGGGGCTGGAATGAACTTGGGAGGATTTTTTTTTGCACGTCTTGGTTTTTACTCCAATAGCTTCTCTTTTTCTACCCACACCGAGGTCCGAAATTCTGTCCTGGGAGGTCAGGGGCTCAGGACCAGGGTGGAGAGTGAGGCGAGGCTGCTGAAAAGGCACTCGTCTGTTATCTGGGCTCACCGAGTCAAAGGTACGATGACTTCACCACCACTGCGGGCGCCTCCCCACCCTGCCAGCACATTTCCGATCAGCCGGTTTGCCCGGGATAGGTTTTCTAGGACTACTCCTTTCCCAGCCTGGCGTCACGAGACTCTGTAAAAAAGATTCGATTAATCTCTTCCCCGTTTCCTCCTTTGAGGAGTCTTTCCCAGACACTGTCTGTTCATGCGATCAGACTTAAATATAACTCAAAGGTTCCTGTTATAGTCGCCACTGAGGATTTAAAAAAAAAAAGAAGAAGTAAATTTACAGGTTGGCAGGCCCGAGAGGAGCTGACCTTTGGGAAGCTCCGGCCCGGCCGGGGTTCGGCTGCACGGGCTGGGAGAGTTCACCCAAGTGCTGTTGCCTAGTGCTCCCGGGAGAAACAAGTGTGCGGCACAGGGGCACCTGGTGCACCTCTGGGTGTGTGCGTGCAGGAGTGTGCGCGCGCGTGTGCACTGGGGAGGCTGCCGGGGAGGCTGCCGCAGAGGCTCCTTTGTGGAAGGCTCCGGCCCGTTCGGAAGCCAGTTTGGCGCCTCCCCCTTGCTGGTTCCACGAGGACACCTGGCCCTTCGGCACAGTCCGTACATCCCTGTCCCCTGCCGCCCCTACTTCCTTCGGTGCCCTATCACCGGGCCCCGGGCCAGCCTTCGGGTGCGGGGAGCACGTGCCAGGTGGTGGCTTCCAGGCCCCCGGGGCCCCGCGCAGGTGAAGGTGAGCGCGGCCGCGAGGACGCTGGCGTTCGCAGGGTGGGAGGGGGAAGGGGCCGAGCAGGAAGGGGCGTGCTAGCCTCGCGGCCGGCGCTGGGAGCAGCCTCGTCGGCAGCATTGTTACCTGGGGCAGCTGCTGCGCCCCGCCCCGCGCCGTCCTGCCTCCTCGCGGTCCCGGGCTGCCCGGGCTGCAGTGACTCGAGAAGAGGCGGCGGCGCGAGGAAGTGGGAGCGCGAGCGGGGATCGCTGGTCGCGGGTGAGTGTGAGCCGCACGGCGGAGGCAGAGGCGATCCCTGCTCCGGGGCCATCGGGACCCGGCAGCTCCGGCTGGGAAGGGACGGGGATGATCCACCAGGACCCGGGGCGGGGGTGCTGCGTCTCGGCTGACCTACAGCCTCACTAGGGAGGCTGGGGAGTTTGAGCTCCCTCCATACCCGCCAGGTGATTCTGGCGGCTGCAGTTCCCGGGCCGCTGAGGACAGAGATCGGTCCCTTGAGGAGAAGGCGCGCGGGTCCGGACCCGAATCCGGAGAATGAGCTAGATCGCGGGCCGCCTCGGGGTTGGACCAAGGTCGGCCGATTCAGTTTTAGCTGCTAGGATTTTCGGAGAAGCTGCGCCCGCACTAGATCCCCGCCCGCCCAAGTGCGAACAACTGGGGGCGCCGTGCCGGGTCCCTGGCCAGTGGGGACACCGGCCTTCCCCCTCCTGACAGTGGGTGCGGGGTTGGCGAGGACGGAGGACGAGGCGACTGTAGCTCTTGTACCCTCGCTCTGGCCGTGCGAAGTTCAGGTTAGAAGGTGCGCCCTGCACTTGTGGAAGTTTGGGGAGGAGGCGGGTGGGCTGGCGGGTCATCTCCAGCCCCTGCCGTGCCCCAGCCTGGGGACAGCGGGCTCTCGGTTTAATCCTCCGACCAAACAGCAGGAGTCTCCCTACGGTTTTCTCGCCAGCCCTTCCAGCTGCCTTCAGCCGAGCCGCAGTGCGGCGGTGCGGCTTTCTCCCCTGAGCCCGGCACTCCGACCCCCGACTTGGGGAGGTGTCGCCGCGGAAGTGCAAGAAGGGGACACCCCGTGTCCAAGAACCAAGAGACCTACCCTATGGATTCAAGCACAGACACCTTCTGTAGTTAGCCCCCTCCCCCTGCTCCTGGGAGCTTTGTGCAGCCGAGGTGGCCGGCAAGGGGAGGGGTCGGCGGGGCGGGAAGGTTCTAAAGCCCCAGCCCTCGGGGAAAGGGGGCGGGGTCTGGCGACCCCCTTGTCCCGCCAGGACTCGCCGGTAGAGGTTCCGGGAGGGACGAAATGGTGCGGTGGCTGCTCCAATTGCTTGTGCCCGAGATAAGGCCTACGCTCCCGGGAGGCAGAGGATCAGGCCCTTGCCCGGCGTCCGCCCCGTAGTCCCCGCTTGTCCCCGCACAGCAGGCGGCGGCCCCTCCCAAGCGCGCGCCCTCTCCGGGTCGCTGCAACCGCCGCAGAGCCTGCGCGGCGCGTGTAGGCGTCTGTCTGTGCCTCGCGCAGGCTACCCCGCCCTCCAGCCGCCGCGGTCCAGATAAGGACTCCGCGAGGGCTCGTGCGCTGTCTGCCCGGACCTCACATTTGCGTCGCTCCCGGGGCGGCCGGGCTCAGAGCGGGGCTTCCCTGGGGATTACGGCGGACGCCGCGGTGTGGCCGCTGCCGGCCGGGGGTTCGCGGCGCCCTCGGAGCCTTCTGTGCAGCCGAGCCCGTGGCATTTTGGTGAGTGGCGGGGACGGGGTTGGGGGCGGAAGGACGTGGTGGACCGCTCGCGGATGCAAAGACTTAGCGATCTGCTCTGTATCCAAACTTGTTGAAGAAAATCGTGCCCCTGGTGTCCCCCGCGTCGAATTTCTTCAGGACCTAGTCAGTTTCAAACAGCTGTTTGTACAGAACTGTTTGCGCAGAAACTGTTCGGCCGTCTGCGATCCCCTGTACAGTGTCTGCCTGGAAAGAGCAGCCTGCGCTTCCTTCTTTCTCTCTAGAGCATCCTTTGGCGCTCGTTTGCCTTTTTTTCTTGGTTTTGGGACATCGAGAGAAACTGAAAATGCACATTCAATAGCAGGCGTTCTTTCTCTGCTCCTAGGCATCTGTGAAATGTTTATGTTGTGCTGCAGATTAAACACACTGGCTGGAAACAGCCTTCGTTGCTAACTCTGGTTCGACTGTGTGGTTGATACTCTGTTTAGTGGAGAGCAAAAATTCCATATTTTAGAATTGCCTGTACTCTCCCCAGCCTTTCTTGTCCCCGAAATAAAATAGGGCTGTGAGTTCCTCTGCCTCTTCTCTCCAAATCTGGCATGTTCTGCCCCTGTTTTTCATCAGAAGGTATGGGTCAGCCTTTCCTGTTCCTACCTCATCTGTGACACATGTTAGGAATCAGGTGGAAAGGGTTGCTGGTGTGGGTTTTCCTTGGAGTTTACTTTTGACGATTGTTGACCTGGGGGTGAGTGACCACCTGAGCATTAAGCCCCACTAAACCCTCACATGGCTGTTAGGGAGGAAAAGTTTAGGAAGGAGCCAAAGGGCTTCTGTGGAGACCCCATGAACTTTCTCATTCTAAGGCTTTTTGCTTGCCGATCAGTCAAAGGCCAAGAACATGGTCACAGTGTCCTCTTATTAAAAATTCACATAGTTAAAAGATGCTCAGCTGAGCTGCAGCCTTATCATGACCACCTATCACTCAGACACACCTGTGCTGGGTCATGATTAGCACTCAGGGGATTTAAAGAGATCTCATCTTCAGAGCCTTACCATGACAGCTCTCCATTTTACTCAGAGAGGGGCATTTGTCAGCCTGAGCAGCCACCCTCCCTGCTGCTGAGGTCCCCATCCTCTAGATGAAATGTTAAATACAAGCCTGTCTCTGTCCACTCAGGGGAGATTGATGGATACTTGACATTTTCCAGACAGAGCCAAGGCTATTTCTATTGTCCCTGCTGGCAATTAACAGCTGTGAGAAATAGCCAATGACTTTAGGTCACCTGTGTTCTCTTTGCTTACTTGGAAAGTGTATGTTTGCATCTTTACCGTAGATAGTACCATAGTAAATTAAACATTCTTTGTGTGTCCTCTTGTTTTAATGTCTCCTGAAACTGTGGAAAGGGTTAGAATGGCTGTCTGCATGTTTTTTTCCCACTTCTGTCTGACATGAGAAATCCCGGCCAGGGAGGAAGTCCTATTGAAGCCCCATTGACACCAGTGGTAAAAGCATTAGCATCTTGGCTAATCATTGCTGGACCACTTATTCATTAGAAGCTGTTGGGGGCCTAAGATTCTTGTATGTTACCCTGGGAAAAAATTAGCCAGACAACATCCCAGGAACAATGTTGTGAATTTTCTTTTGTTTCTTTAACTTTTTCGAATAACATTCTTTCTCAGATGGGGCAGTGGTTAGAATCATACCAATGACAAGTTTTTATTTGATACTTCCCCCGTGTAACGCGGAATACTCAAAAAGACTTGCCTCCTTTGGAGCTTTAGTATTGGAGGATAGTGCTGTTGCACAAGTTCCGAGTATGTAGTCTTTCTCACTCTTTATTAGTATCTCTACTTTGGCTGTGTGAGGTTTCATGGCACATCTGTGCATATATTTACTCAGCACTGAATGAGTTATTGCTTTCTAGGATGGAGACTTTTTAACTTATCACCATTCTTAACAGGGATAATCTGTAAACAAGTCAGCATATCTGGAATTGAAGGATTAGCAGCTCTTCTGTGCATAATTAGTGAATTGGAGGATTAGAACTCTTCTATACACGAGATATTTCATGTACAGAAGTATTTTAAAATATGTAAGGATAAACTGCCAAGATTACCTGTGCAGTCTTGAAAAAAGAAGAGTTCAAATATAACTATAAACTGTAATTGACAATGAGTCATTTGCTCTAGGGGTGCCAACTATGAAAACAGCCTAGTTATGCCCCTAATGATAATCATGAAAACTCCTTTTAAAAGCCAGTTGCGTCTCAAGTAAACTGCAAATTGGTTTGGATAAATATTTTCAGTTTTACTTTCTAAAATACTGTCTGGTGGTGATGGTTACATAACATGGTGAATGTATTTAATGTCACTAATATAACTTAAAAGTGGTAAAAATGGTTTTTAAAAAAGAGTTATTCAGTTAATAGTTGGAAATGCTGTTTTCTGGCCATATATAATTTTCAGAACTTTCAAAAATTTCATAAAAACGTTTGTTCTTGATATAGATAATTTGCTATACAATCACTGAGAATTAAAAAGGGGCAAATCTCAGAAACCTAGTAACTAAGAAAGCAGAAAATGGAAATATTAAAGGTTTCTAGCAGCGTGAGCATTTTGTCTATAAACCCAACACATATTTTAAAGCAAATGTAATACCTGGAAAAATAGAGAGAGATCATATGTACCTATGACATTAGTCATTAATAACAAGGACTTGACATGTATTAGTTCATATATTCTTAGACAAGACAGTGAAATGGTATACCTTATGTTATAGAAGAGGATGTAAACATAGGGTACATAACCTACTTCACCTCAGGTTGCACATCTAAGGATCTGAGGAAAAGCAGTATATTTCTGGAATTTCCACTTTTATCCTCAAACAATCCTGTCCTTTTTTTAAAAAAGATTTTTAAATTAATTTTTAGAGGTGGGGGGAGGAAGAGGGCGAGAGGGAGAGAGAAACATCAATATGAGAGGAAAACATTGATGGGCTGCCTCCTGCATGCCGTCCACCAGGGACCTGACCAGAATCGCAGGCACCATCAGTGCACAGGATGACACCCAACCGAGCCACGCCGGCCGGCAGCCATCCTGCCTTTCATATGTGTTTCTGTGTAAAACATTCTATAATATTTGAATTAGTGATATCTGACAGGTTACTGCTATGTAACCCAATACTGTTTGACCAGTGTGTGTGTGTGTGTATGTGTGTGTGAGAGAGAGAGAGAGAGAGCTTTGCCAGTGATGCTATAAAAGGACAATTACACTCAGAAGTCCAGTCTAAAAAGCCCTTTCATTTGGCCCTTTGTGTCCTGGAGGAAACAGCCCCCTTTTCATACACTCACATAGGCAGGTGCTCACTCCGTAGCCTGCATGGGCTCCCTTCTTCCACATTCCCACTTACCTGTCCTTATATCTGAAGAAATGTAGTTGTTTTGACCCCTGTTTTCACATCAGGTCCATAACAGCCCAACACCAAAAACAAACACTTAAAGATCGGTAAAAATGCAAGCCACTAAAATAATTCAGTGACTATGGATAACGTGGCAGGTGTGACATGGGCAGCGTTTCCTCGTGTGTCTGTGTCTTTGCTAATAGTGTCAGGGAAGAAGCAGGAGAGACAGGTGAGAGGTTCTGATAGTTTCCAGAGAGTGGCTTACCTAGAATCCAAAGTGATAGCATCGGAGGCGATGGTAGAGGTCATGTAATGTATCCCAACCTCCTAATTTTACAAACGAGAAACTGAAGTCTAGTGAGCCGAAGTGACTTGTCTAAAATGGTAAGCCGTAAAGCTTGATTTAGAGATGGAACCTTTAATCTTTGTGTCTAGTGTTCTTTTCTCTATTTTCGGGGAAGCCAGGTCACCAGTAGAGCTGGAACTTGCTGGTTCTGACTCTAGGAGGATGAGTTCAGTCATTATTTTATCATCTGTAAATCCCTGCCTGTTGTGTGCAGGATGGACGAGGCCAGCTGATTGATAGGGGGCGTATCCATACTGGAGAAAGGCAGGGTCACTAATGCCTAATACTCCGGTCATTTGTATAATTTCCCTAGGGGTTGGGTATCCACTGTCCCAAGATGCTGAGCCAGGGAATGAGCAAGGTTTATTCATAAAGTGAGCAGTACTTGCTGAACCTATAGAGCGTTCTCAGCAAATAAGTGTTATATCGATTAACAGAAGGTTTCCAAGTTGGATTTATTCCTGCAGTTTTGGCAACATTGCCAGGTAGTAAGATTTGATTCACATTTAGGAAAGCATTAGTCCCTTTGAAAGCTCTCTGGGAGGTATTGCCTTTTGTTGATTTTCATATTCAGTAACTCTAGGAGGGTTGGCACGAGCCTCTGAGGGGAATACCTCATATTGGAATATTTTTCTGTACTGATTTTGTTGTTTTATCTTTGTAGGTTTGGAAGATGGCACATAACACCGGGGCCTTTTCCTCTGGCAGCAGACTCGGGGGTGCAAAAGTATGACACAAGTTTGAAGTTTGTGTCTACTTCCCCAAGGTCAAGAAATTGTCTCCTTGGAAGGCAACAATACTATGCATGTTATGAATTGTGTCTCCTTGGTCAGCGATAAAGAAAATGGGACTATCGCCACAGCGGCTGGATTCATGATTGAGCAAACGCCGCCACCTCCTCCTCCTCCTCCTCCACCCCCTCCACCTCCACCATGCCCATTTTCAGAGGAAGGCTTTCCTCCCTCTCCTCCCCCTCCCCCCCCAAATCCACTCCCCGAGGGGCCTCCGGTCCCTCCTCCCCCTCCAGGACTGCCCCCAGCTTCTCACTTGAATGGCTACAGCCACCTCGGTAAGAAAAAGCGGATGAGAAGCTTTTTTTGGAAAACCATTCCAGAGGAGCAAGTGCGGGGCAAAACCAACATCTGGACCTTGGCAGCCAGGCAGCAGCATCAGTATCAGATCGACACGAAGACCATCGAGGAGCTCTTCGGGCAGCAAGAAGACGCCTCCAAGCCGTCCCTCTCCAGGAGAGGAGGACCTTTAAATTCATCCTTCAAGGAAGCGAGAGAGGAGGTAAGCATGGGATGTTGATTTGAGTTCGGGGTTGAGTTGATTTGATTCTTCTAGAATCACGAAGAAATAACACAATGCAAGGGAATGTGCTCTGGGAACGATAGAAGGGGCCTTAGATGATGAACTGGAGCTGAGTAGTAACAAAATGTAAGGAGCGTGCATGCCGGACCCTCCCAGGCATCTCCGTGGACTATGACCTCATGCAGAGAACATGCTCTGTGGGCCCTCCTCGTTGGCCTGTGCGCTCTGCCCTGTGGCTGCACATCTGAGGTTTCCCCTGATGGAGTGCCCTTCTGCTGGAGTACAGGGTTATTCATCTCCAGTGAAACTAGCAAAAACAAAACCAAGTTCCTGAACCCAGTCCTCTGTGATGAACTGGAGATATCTGAGACAAAATGCCTTTTGTTAATTAACGTGATTAACTAATACACATCCTTAGGAATGCTATCCTTAGTTTTCCCTCCAGTGTTTGGTGATGGCCTTTATTCCTCTAATCACCGAATTGAATTCTGGCCACCGTGGAACAGAGCTTTCCCGAGAGCCAAAGCATTAAGCTATTTTCAGATAGACTTTCTAGAAAGCCTATTTCCAGTTAACACTCAGTGTGTTACTTTGAGGAAACAGTAAAGCGAGTGAGTTGTAAGAAGTTAACTGAAAATGTGGTCTCCGAGGTACAGGCCATTATACATTAGGGAACCGAGTCCAAAACTCCATGTGTATGTACTCTCTGTGTACAAACATGAGAATAAACATGTGAAAGTCTCTGCTTACTAGAGGAAATAATTAGGAAACCAGAGATTGAAAGGAAAGAATGCTGCCCACCAAAAAAGGGGGCAATAGAGATGCATCATTTTTTAATCTGTTGTAAGAGAGCTGAGAAAATAGGTCAGAGATGGAGCTGGTGAGATAAGAGGAGGCAGGGCTCTGGAATGAAGTAGCAGCTCCCTGCATTATTGAATTCTCGCGTCGACAATATTGACCTCTTTTCTGTCTGGCCGAGGAACGTGTTAACTTCTCGCCACGAATTTACTTGGGTGTCCTTGAAGCTTGTGGAATGGTGCCCTGTTGAAATAGCCAAGAGTCTGCTTATTATAAAATGTGGAGAACACTGGAATTAGAATTCACTGTAAACTGTGACATAAATCTGGGAGGAAGTCTTCAGGGAAATCCTTAGTGCTGAACCCAGGCTTTCTCTGCTCTTTGCTTTATGCAAAGTCTTTTTTATTTCTTTTTTTTTTTTTTTTTTTTTATCCTCACCCGAGGATATTTTTCCATTTTTTGTACAGATAGAGTGGGAGGGAGAGAGAGGAAGGGAGAGAGAGAGAGAAACATCGACGTGAAGGGACACATCGAGTGGCTGCCACCCGCACGACCAACCAGGGCCGGGGTCAAACTGCAACCGAAGTACGTGCCCTTAGCGGGAACCGAACCCGGGTCTCTCCGGACCGCAGGCCGACGCTCTAACCGCTGAGCCAAACTGGCCAGGGCGTCTTTTTTATTTCTTAGCAGATCCTTTCAATATCAGAAGATGTAAGAAGTCATTTCCTAAGTACCCTGGCCTTTGCCCCAGCTTCCAGCAGAGGTTTCTTACTGTACAGTAGGTCATTTCTCACCATTTTTCTGAGCTCCACTTAGTGGATTTCAGGAATGTGGAAGGAGAGTGGATGGGGGCATGTGGGAACAGTGATGCACTGTAGCAAACATTGTAGCAAACAGAAGGGTCTGGCTCACCAGCTTCTGAGGGGCAGCTGGCCCTTGTAAATGGGGACATTTATTTTGCCAAATGCTAGTTCAAGAGGCTGTGAGGTACTGGCTGCTTTATGTTAGTGAACTAAAGAGAGGTTAAGGACTTCTCAGAGAGGGAAGGAAGTGGCAGAGAGCGTGGCATCTTCTCCCAACCGTGACAGAAGCAGAAATGTCCATTTCTAGGCCAGACCTGAACTTCAGGAGGAATAAAAGATCTTTCTCCTTTCCTCCCTCCACCCCTGTATTCTAGGTACAGCTTTACTTTTTTTTTCTTTAACTTACCAAAAAAAATCTGAAAGTGAATAATTATTTCATTTATTTATTTGTTTATGTTTTATTTATTTTTTACTGAATTTATTGGGGTGACATTGGTTAATAAAATGATATATGTTTCAGGGGTACAGTTCTATAAGACATCATTTATATACTGTATTGTGTGTTCACCTCCCCAGGTCATGCCTCTTTCCATCACCATTTATCCCCCCTTTACTCTCTCCTATCCACCTACCTGCTTTTCCCTCTGGTTATCACCATACTGTTTGTCGGTCTATGAATAATTAGCTTTTTAATTGTGGGAAAATATACTTTTTCCATTTTAACCACTTTTGAGTGTCCCGTGCAGTGGCCCTGCAACATCCACGTTGTTTCCTAACCTCCATCACCATCCATCCATAGAAATCTCATCTTGCAAAGGACTCCCGGTGCCTGGCAGCCACCCTTCCGCTTCTCTGCGGATTTGACTCCTGGGGGCACTTTATACAAGTGATCACACGGTGTTTGTCTTCTTGTGACTGGATTATTGCACTTTGCAAAATGTCCCTGAGGTTCCTCCGTGTTGTAGCATGTGTCAGAACTTTAAGGCTGAATAATATTCCAAACACCACATTGGTTGATCCAGTTATCTGTCGATGGACACGTGGGTTGCTTCCACCTTTTGGCTATTGTGAATAATGCTGTCATGAACATGGGTTTGCAAATAGCTTTATTTTCAATACTTGTAGGTCTTAATCTGAGAGACAGCATATGAGAAAGGAAAGTTAAATCACCATCACTGTGTAAGCAAACAGTCTAACTTTTCAGTACTCAGGTAGGGGAAGTAGTTTAGGTAGATGGATTTAAGTGCACATTATGTAATACTGCCACAAAACAGGGTTATCCAGAATTATTTTCAATTTTCCATGCTGTCTCCAAAATGGCTAGAAGTATTATAAATACTTTTTATTTTCAGTAAAGAATAGAGTACATGCGATTTTCTTCCCTTATTAGATTTTCTTCTGAAGCAGTTATATCTCAGCGGAGTGATGGTCTAACAAGGGCCAGTAATAAATCTTCAGTTCACTCTGCAGTAAGAAGTCCAGGGTTGAGAGGGATAGTCCTCACCACCTGTCTGTGTGGCCTGGAGAACACCCTTGACAGCATGTGGGGCAGAGACCCATCCCGAGCCCGGAAACACGGCATCCCAGCCGTACCTACCATACAGGCTGTGATCTGAAGGTTCAAACATGCCAAGGATCAGATTATGTCTCCTTGGAATGGAATAACCTCCTACAGAAACGGCCTGCCAGTCTGTGGTTGGCTCATACTTTAAAGGGCTTATAAAGCATTAACAAATAAGTTTCATTATACTCCAAAGGAAGAAGTTACTGAATGATAGGGAAGAGCTGGGTTTGGGAGTCACGGAATTTAGGAAGAATAGCACTTAAAATAGTAAACTGGAACATTTCGTAAGGGGGAAGAGGTTATGAAATATTACTATCCTTGTATCTTTGTTACCTAGAAAATTAACTCAAAGAGGCTGCAGGTGTTATAGTAATAATTAAGCTGTAAGAAAGTGATTAGAAATAAACTTGTATAATTGGTGATAATAATAAAAACATTCAGCTCAAACTGCACCCCCCCCCCCCGCAAGTTCACTGATCTCCCCCCTGAGAATTCCCCGTTTGGCTCTGCAGGTGCTCCTCAGCCCCGCAGAGCCCCACGCTGGTTGTTGGCTCTGCACTAGTCTCTCTAGAACCTGAACCGCTCTTAAGGGAAGGGACGGTCTTCGCCGTTGGTATCCTTCAAAGAAATTAAAGGCAACTGAGCTGACAGAACTCACAAGGGAGCAAAGGGCTGATCGTACAAGGTGTCAGCATCACAGGTCAAAATTGGGATTCACAAAGAAACCACAGCAAGGTAAAGAAGGTCTGAGGGTGTAATGTAAAACTGGGTGACCACCATTGATAGCACTGTATTATGTCACAGAAATTCGCTATGAGAGAACTTACATGTTCTCACCAAAAAAACAAAAGAGAAAAAGATAAGTATGTGAGGTGATGGGTGTTCGTTAGCCAGGTGAAGGAAGCCTAACTAAAGTCACTTACCAGAAAAAGGAGTGGAGAGAGCAAGGAAGGATGGAAGAAAGATTGGGTTTTCTACATTTATAAGGAGTAATGTTTTATTCTCCCACACTGTGATTCAGGTTTCTGTCATTCTTTCTCAACTTTTGTTATGATCCCAATATATTCTAGAATTCTGGGACATGTTCAGTAGAACTCTAAAACCAGGTAGTAGTGTCTGAAATACATTTTAAAGGGAAAAGAAAATAAATCTTCTACTGGGTTTTCATCACCGTCCCCTCCCCAAACTGCACGAGGAACATTTCCCACTTGACAGCCAACCAAATATAAAAAAGAAAATGAAAAACCACCCAAACCCAAAAGCTAAGTTCCTAGCAGAGGATACAGGAAGATTTTTACATGCTTTTCAGAATGTGATGTAGGGCTGAAATAACCACTACTTAGGTAAGGGAGCCCCTTTGACATATTGAAACAAAAGTGATTTAAGATGTTCTTCTTTCCCCTTAAGACATCAGCAGTAAGTGAAATAAGCCCATCACAAAAGGACAAATAGAATGTGATTCCATTTACAACCGTGCCCAGAGGAGTCAAATTCCTAGGGACAGAAAGCGGAAGGGTGGTTGCTAGGGGTGGGGGAGGGGAAATGGGGAGTTAGGGTTTAATGGGTCCAAAGTTGATGGATGGTGATGATGGTCACACAACAGTGTGTGTGGACTTCATGCCACCAAACTACACTTAAAAATGGTAAACACTGTTATATGTATTTCACTACAACTAGAAAACCAATGTTTCTTCTCTGTGGGAGGCAGATTTTGTAGTGGCATGATACCAGGTCTGTGCGTTGTAGTAAGAGAAACCGAGAGAGCTTACTTAGGTGTTAACAAGAGGGGTGGTGTAGCCATGCACATCATTTATTGCGTACACTGTACATACTCTGGTCTCTGTGCCTCGCGGGTGTAGAACAACCCCAGCCACCCTGGCCAACTGTGGGGAGACTGTGGGAGCAAGTCCCCCTCCCAACCTGGTGGGAAACCCTCCGGATGGGACGAGTTGAGCACATTACATTACATTATAGCTGTCCTGTTGGCCAGGGAAGGTGTCACTCCTCGGGGGGCCTTTATGGAAAGCTCACGAGCTACAGAGCTGGCTGGCTGGACCTGCTGTCGCAGGCTGTGGCTTCAGTGGAGTCCAGCCTCCATGTGCTGGGACATCGAGAGAAGTCGGCAGGGATTGACTGGAACTGGAGGGGAGAGGGAAGGATGGGTTGATTATTCCCTTTTCTTGGGGCAGTTTGTCTCAGCCTGTCATGCCCACAGTCTCACGGGGGCCCACAGTCTCACGGGGGAGTCTCCACGGCTCTGAATGACTCCCAAACCCAGCGGTCCGGTCCGCACGCGTTCATTTCTGCTGGCAAGCATCTGGGAAGTAAGATAAGCTCATTTACATGTGTAGCGATAAACTTCATTGAAGGACTTTAACAAACACTTTTATAACATGGCTTTAAAAGGATCGAGTGAGATAACCTATGACAAAGAGACTGCTCACACACTAGGCAAACCTGAAGATACCGGGAGAGGGGGATGGTCCCTGGGATGTTAGCAGCTGTGTCTTTTTCTGGGTCTTGATGGGGTGTCGGCTGTTTTCCCTGTTAGGTGCTCAGTCATGGCCAGCCAGGTTTGTCCTTAAGACTGTGGCTGCATTCTCTTAGTGACCACTTTCTGCAGCCTTGCTTCAAGCTGTGAAGGTAGCTGCTGTCCCAGCTGTGGCTGCCCCGCCTTGAGCATAAGGAAGCCCCTTGGCTCCTGGAGGCTGGCTTAGCTGGTGAGATCTCTATCCATCATCTCACACGTACACCGCGGGGTCACCAGGGGACTTGGCCAACTCTGTGGATGGCTTTCTTCAGATCTGCCCCCATTTCGGGAGAAATATCCCCATGTGAATACCAGGCTGGTGGGGGAACATTTGCCACTTCCCTTCATTACTGAATCTCAGTGATATTAAAACTCACCGGAACTAGAGCAAAGAGGAACCAGATACACCCAGGCTAGCATTTCAGTGCTAGCATTGCTTTGGGGAAGTTGTAAGAATGACATCGCTGAGGCTCCTTATATGGCAAATAGGAGCAGTAAGAGTAATGTCTCTGTCACTTTTCCAGCAACAGTCGCTGTGGGTCTCGGCCAACTGTCCAGAGTCCCAGAGGGCTGAAGGGTGAAGATGAGGGTGGAGTGTCGGGTACTGGGGACCCAGGAGGGTGCCACTGTCAAGGGTTAAATATAGCAGGAGGTGGTAATTTAACGAGAGAAATAAAAGAAGGTATTTCCCCATTCTGGGCAGAAGTGAATGCAGAAAAAGTTCTTCAGATATGTATATAGCTGTATCAATATATACACGTTCTTGTTATTTTATGAATTATAATAAGCACATTTGTCTGTCATAATAACTTTACATTCCTCTTTTTGGTTTGAGCTTTCCTCTTTCAAGGGCAATAACTTTGACAAGCTTTTTTCCCACTCTTCCCCCCTTCCCTCCCCTCCCTGCACCCTGAACTTGAACTGCAACCCCAGGGTAGGATTCCAATAAGGAGCTGGCCCTTTTAACTTGGGAGTTTATTTTATGGTTGGCAGGTGATTGTGTTAACATGAAATAAACCCCTAGGATAGTAAATAATGTGATTGTTTAAGATTAGTCTTCAAATGAAGGCAACCATACTCTTGTAAAAATTTAACCCTATAGCCAGGAAGTGCCATTAACTTTGGTTAACAGTCTGGCGGGACCTGCCCTTTCCTATGAACTTAGAAGCGGGGCCCAGAGATCAGGAATTTAATCTGAAACCTGATTCTTTTGTTCACAATGAATCACATACATTTGGAAAGGAAGAGCGTTATAACAACATTCCTATTTTAGTTAGTCTCCCTTTACCAAAAACAAAGGGAAACAGTGTGGCAGTTTTCAGGTTATCTTTGCTCCGCACGTTCTGGACATTTACTTCCAGAGAAAGAAATGGCGTTTGTATGTCATCCCCGCCAGACTGATTTCCAGTCTGATAAAACTCTTCCAAGTTATTAATTTTGAACAGCTGAAACCTATTGCAGCCGAAATCTGGATTTTGATGGTACATTGGAAGAGCCACCGTATTTCATTAAATCAAAGGTGCCATACATTGCAAGACACATTCTGATTCTGGAGATTTTTTTTTAAACTCCCCCCCCCCCCTTTTATTGATTTCTTAGAGAGGAAGGGAGAGGGAGAGACAGAAACATCGATGAGAAAGAACATCGATTGGCCACTTCCTGCATGCCCCCCACTGGGGATCAGGCTCACAACATGGGCGTGTGTCCTGACCAGGAATCGAACCAGCGACCTACTGGTGCATGGGTTGACACCCAAGCACTGAGCCACACTGGCTGGGCAAGAGATGGTTTTAAAATGTGAAAAAAATACGTCTTCGACTTCGTGAAATATATCACCAGAGTTTTCCTGTTTAAATTCTGAGTAAATAAAATGTAGGGCACTTTCTTACCTCCTCCTAAAAGGATTGTTGTACATATATATTCTTTTTCAATGAAAATAAATTTTTCTTTTAGAAAAAAATTAAAAATTTTATTACATTTCTTTTATATCCCTCAATCAGGGCTGGGACTCACTGTGAAATTGCTTCGGAGTTATTTTTTACTTTCTCAGTTCAAAGCTCATGTGATTCTTGCTACACTAAGACATTTTCCCAAAATTAAGGCTTTTAAATGTGGGCTATATTATTTTAAGGGGAAACTGCTAAATTTAAAAAATTAAATATATAATTTATTAAAATTATATACTATTAAAATATAGAATGTATAATTATTAGAGTTAAGGAAATAGCATTGCAGAAAGTTTGGAGAGAGGATAATGTTTTACAGTTTATAAACTGTTTTACAGTTTGTATTTTGATAGGTTTAATTCTGTTCTTTTCTCCGATTCTTTTTATTTGTACTTGAATAATCTTACGTGTCTCAATTTTTTTTTTTTTTTGCAGAGTACTATCTTGGATGCAAAACGGAGCATGAACATTGGGATATTTCTTAAGCAATTTAAGAAGTAAGATTTTTGCACACAGTTGAAACTCAAGTCATATCCATCTGCCAGTATCAGAGTCTGGGTGTGAGATGAAACTCAGGTTCTGCTATGAGTGAGAGTCATTCCTTCAGATCCTTCGTAGACACATGGCTTTGATGAGCCCACAGGTGGCACTTTCTGCTGTTTTCCTTCATGAAAACCCAGCTAGTGGCTTGAAATACAGGGAGAATTGCCCCAGGGTGTCTAGTCAAGCCTGTCATGTCAGGGAGTTTATAAATTCGTCGCTAGTGTTGCCCCTTGAGTGGAGGTTGAACCACTGAGTCAAACAGTGATGAATTTCAAGTGTTCAGCGTGGGGAGGAGCAGGCTCTTCAGGAGATTCATGGGACCAAAGGGAGTGGCTTTTCTTCTCCCAAAGAAGACTCCAGGGGTGGTTTTGTGGGTGAAGGGGCCTCTGAGTGGTGTTTCAGGATCCCCACTTTTCCTGGCTGTGGGTCTGTGGGGATCACGGACACAAAACAGCCTGTTAGACTGGGAAGAAGGTGGATGGAGAGGAGGGTGGAGGTGATTTGTTTTAATTTCCACTGGCTTGTGTTTCTTTGGCACTCCAGCAAACATGAAATGGAATCTGATTGTCTTTTCAAGGTCTCCTCAGTCCATTGTAGAAGATATTCATCAAGGAAAGAGTGAGCATTATGGATCAGAGACATTGCGAGAATTTCTTAAACTTTTGCCCGAGTCAGAGGAGGTAAGGAATTTGGCGTGTGAGTTTTAGATGTCAGGAGTGATAATAAAAGCTTAATATGTGTAGGAATGTCAAAAACCACGCGAGACGGGAACTCTCCTACCCAGCCAGAGCCAGAGTTTTCTCACATAAAATTCAGAAGTGACCCAGTAGACAGAGTATAGGTTATGGAGTGAGGGAACCTAGGTTTAAATTCAAGCTCTACCCTAACTGAGAAACTTGGGCAAGTTCCTTAACTCCTGTGAACTTTAGTTTTCTCACCTATAAAGTGAGAAAATGATGCTTACCTCATTGGATAGTCAAGATAATCAAACTGTAATTATGCATCTGACATAGTACTTGGCACATGGAAACTCAATAAATATTTTTCTTTTTCTTTTTTTTTTTTAATCCTCACCCAAGGATATTTTTTCATTGATTTTCAGATACAGTAGAAGGGAGGGAGGTATATATAGAGAGAAAGAAACATTGATATGAGAGGGACATATCTACTGGTTGCCTCCCACACGACCCCAACCAGGGCCAGGGACGAACCACAACCAATGTACGTGCCCTTGGCCGGATTGAAGCCATGACTCATTGTCTGCGGGCTGACGCTCTAACCACTGGACCAAACGGGCCAGGGCTCAGTAAATTTTAATTCCATTTTGTCATGTAGCAGTGATCTTTGCTAGGATGTACCTGGGCTGTTTTATAATACATACACTTTTTGAAAAGTAAAGACAAAGGAAACCACTTTTGGGTAAAGATGCTCCAAAGTAAGTTTTGAATGGCTGAGAGCTTGATAGAAAACAGCAGAAAAATAATTTTGTGAAACCTTCCAAAATTGTAATATTGTCTTTTATTTCTGAAGAAGTGACTTTTGAAAAAATTCTGTAAGAAATTACATGAATATCTGTGCTTGAATAATGTAGTCTTATAAGGTAAAAAGTATAAGTTACCCTTTTACACGCACTGTTAGTTCCTCCCTCCCCCTCCGACTCCTCTTCCCACACGTGATTGGTGGAACTTCCGTACCATGAATAACAGTACAAGAAATGTATTTATGCTTTTTGTGTCATTGATAAACTCACAATGCCAAATCTAGGGTCTTAGTGTGTAAATAGATACTCTAGGAACATCTAATAACCTTTCCCTCTCTCTACCTTGGATTTTCTGTTTGCAAATTAAGTGTAATTTATCTTAGCCAAGATTAATTAATAGCATTTATTAATGTTAATAAAAGGGTCTTAAAGTATTGAGGTAAAGGAACATTTAATCATAATTTACCCAGATCTTATTTACCGAACACTCTTTAAATGTTCTTTTATGTAAAGAATCAGAGTTCCCCAGTTTTTAAATTGGGTTGAATATGGCTGAGTTCATTTGGATTTTCAAACAGATTTCGTTTTTCTCAAAATCTTATTCTTGCTTGGGCTTTGTTCATGACTCCTCCTCGGGCCTGCTGCGGTACCCGCTCCTCGCCGACCTTACCGCTTTACTAAGTGGGGTGCATCTGATGGCGCAGGTGAGCATGGTCTGAAGAAAGAGCCGTAACTCTCCTCCCTGCCAACAGGTCGGGCATGAGGGAGGCCGCGGCTCCATGCCACGAAGAAGTGGGAGATTAAATATGGCTTCCTTAATGTCTTCATTTTGCATTTAAAATCCAAAGGCGATTCAGGAATGCACAGGCTGTGGAAGACTGAGGGGTTCTTCAGAGCAGCTGTCAAGCTGCTCCTGTCTTACGAACTCTGGTTGTTTGGGGTTGTGTGCGGGATATCACTCAAAGGGAAGAAAGTTAAGGGCAAGATGAATAAAACCCACCCACGGCTTTCCTGAGTGTCCAGGCACGCCCCCACCCTCAGACTGTCAGCTAACCTGTGGCCCGTCTGTGGGACCCCAACCAGCCTTCCCAGCCCCTGAGCCAGGCCCAGCTGCTTCTCCCATCACCCTCCTGCTGCAGGGTCATCCTCAGTCTGAATATCTGACAGGCTTGGTCACCCTGCTCCTTGTTTACACTGCCTCTTGGCTTCAGCTCACCACACCCTCCACACTCCGCTGGGAGCTTCCGACAGCAGGAACACCCTGACGGTCCCCAGGGCCACTCGCGCCCCTCCCTCAAGCACTCTGGGGGATCTGGCCTGGTGAAAGCCAAAGCCACCTCATGACCCGTGCCCGCTGCAAGGACAGATTGGCTTTGCTGAGAGTGCTGTGTGGCCTCTGGCGCTGCCCAGACCCAGGGCCGACCCGTGAGTCTCTGGTGGAGGGTGGAGGGTGGAGATGAGGCCAAGGAGGAGGCAGGGCCAAGTGGGAAAGGTTGAGGAATGTGGCAGAAATGTGCTAATAAATGCATAAATGTACATAGAACCACATGTTGCTGAGCCTGTGGCATAACACTCTGTGCTCATTTTTAGCACAAGAAGGGACTAAAGGTTGGTTGAGTCCCTGGACAGGGCAACATTCAGCCAAGCGAGAGCCTGTATTTCAAGTGCTTGGCCCAGTGTCTGGCACATAGAAAGTCAACAAATCACGGCTATAATTACTTTGTGTATCTTTCCCACTGAATCCTCCCAGCGATGTAAGATAGTCCCCATTTCACCAGTGAGAAACTGAGGCTCCGCTGGGTTAGATAGACCACGTGTGTGTGTCACGGGGTGGGTGGGCCATGGAGGAAGGTGGATTTGAACCCTGAGCAGTTCCTTCTGCTGCACTTGGAGGAAGGAAGGAAGGAAGGAAGGAAGGGCAGAGGTTCTCAAAACTCTCAGAAGGTTCTCAGAGGACTTGTCATCACCTCTGCTATCACAGAGGGCTGGTGTGAGTGTCACCCAGATGATACTGTGATCTTATCAGCAGGCGGAAAAATATGAACGGAAAGAGCCCTTTTCTCGTCTGCATTCTCAGCTGACAAGCCAACCCAAGGTTAATCTGAGCTCAGGGTTCCTCTGCCCCTCGCCACAAATCTTTTGTCTGGCATGTCTGTTCATCTTGTCTGAAACTAGTGGGCAAAACTTGCAGAGGGAGAAGGTAGCTCCAGAAATGAAAGAACTGGGGTGTGCTCCTCTGCCAGCCAAGTGTTCCTGTGTCCCGAGAGGAGGCTGGAGGAGGGGCCGGGCGGGCGGTGCAAGGGACCCCCACCCAGCGGGCGAGCCCTTCCTCTAATGGGGCTGGTCCCCTTCCATGTCTCAGTGTCAGGGGTGCAGGGCTGGAAGGTGGTTAGAAATGTGCTGTTCTTTCTGCGGGCAGACTGATTTGTCTCCTCCGACGCTTGATCGCCTCATTCCTCCCTGTTTTGTTTACTCTGTCCCTGGGGGAGGGATGACAGTGGGGGAGCCGGGAATCTTCTGTTGGCCCGTGGTGGGAAATTCTGCTGTTTTCAGGCCATGTGAGTGGAATTAGATGGGATGAAGGAGGCCTGCCCTTGGGAATGTGTGAGTCTTAAGCAGCACGCTGTTTGCTATTAGGACAGAAACGGGCACAGCTGGGTCATAATGAGAGTCACTTGGCTCGGCCAGCAACATTCTGCCTAACAACATTTGATAAATGCTTTTGATGGTGATGAGAATGCATAATAATTATAGGGTTGGTTCACCTCTCCTTTTTACCTCCCTACCACGGTGAAGGTGCAGTAATCCCTCTTAATGAACATAAATCCCATTCTGAAATGGAATTAAGAACTATATACACGGCATTTGAATCAAATACTATCTTTTCATCACCATTCTCTTGAAATCTAAACATTTTTAGCTCTTTACATAAGTGAAGGAGATTACTCTTTGTTCAGTTATAGTTTAGCACACGTCTAATAGAAATATCTACCAAGATTATTTAACATGACCTGCTCTTATGATTTAGACAGAAAACTGCTGTTATTTTCAGCAGTTTTGCACATGGGACATATAAGGTCTTATGAAACGCACAACCTCACTGTGCCCCTGCCCATATATAGTGAATTGTGAGTAATTCAGAAGGGATCAGAATTCATCCTATAGCTTTCTCAGTCCAGAAATGAGGCTCTGATTTGGGTTTAGCTAAACCAGAGTTTCCATCTGCCCTTTAGCTAAAAATGGTAAAAAAAAAATCACTTTGGGGCCCTGACAGTAGGGGAAATAATGCAGTTCTATAGATGGTAATTTTCTGTCCATTGGAAGAAAAAAATATAGCCTTCAGCACCAGACTCAATACTAGGGTATACACCTGCACTGTTACATTTTATACCTTCAGGGAATTGGTGTAGGTATTTCAGTTTGTAGGTCTTTGCAAATACTCCCTCCTCTGTGTTTTTGAACGTCATCCCCTATTTTTCAAGAGGCTTACGAATCATGTTATTTTTATGGGCGGCCGTAATAATCCAGGGGGTGGAAGAGAAAGCTTTATGAAGAGTAATGAAAGGTGGTAAGTGCTCCTCAGCCACGATTAGCTGCGAAGATAGGCTGTCTACTTCTTAAGGCCCTACTTACCGAGCAGTGTTTTTGTTGGAAGCCTCCGTGGATGGAGAAGTGTTTCTGCCATCGAGTCGGTCCAGTTTTCTGTGCAGGGAAGGCATGACTTGCTCTCTCATGCAGAAGAGAACTTTCTCTGCTTCCATCCGCACCTGCTTGGCTGTTCGGCTGCATTCCTATGTCAGAACTCTTAGCTCTTTCCTACACTTGAAGGAATATTTGTGTGTTGAATAATTTTTAGTTTAATTTTTTTTACAAGAACATACATGTTCGTTGTAGACATTTTAGAAAATAAAAATAAGCAGCAGAAGAAAATAGAATCACGGGAACCCCGTCCCCTAGTGGAGGTGGGGCCTTTAGTGTTTTTCCTGTGTATATAGTCAGTGCATGGAGGGTCAGGGGGAGTCAATACTTTTTAAAAATATTATAGAAATGAGGTCCTATTGTACATATTTTTATTACCTGTTTTCTTTCATAGGGGGATGTCTTGAAATTGATCTTTCTGTTCAGTCATTCCCCCCCCCCCCCCGTTTTTTGTTTACCTAAGAATATTTTTTCCATTGATTTTTTTAGAGAGTGTGGAAGGGAGGGGAAAGGGGGGAGAGAGAGAGAAAGAAACATGGATGTGAGAGACACAACAATTGGTTGCTTCCTGCAAGTGCCCAAGCCATGTCCAGGGATCAAAGCTGCAACCCAGGTGCATGCTTCTGACTGGGAATTGAACCCGTGACCCTTTGGTTTGAGGGCCGATGTTCTAACCACTGAGCAACACTGGCCAAGGCACACCGTTTTCCTTTTTATGTTTCTGCTGGAGAGGCAGAGTGTACCCACCTCAACATACACTAGCCCCTTCCTGTAAAGTTAGTGTGTGCAAAGAAGACTTGACCACAGAAGGACCTGTCTTAGACCTCACCTAGTCGATTTTATATCCGACATACTCAAAATGATGTTTTTTTTTTTAAACTTATGACTTGAAGACCATATTATAATGACTTCTCAGTCTCTTCTTTCTTCTCCCAAACAATGATCTCCCTTCCAGGTCATAACTTACAGACAATTCTCACCCTTAGAACGACCCTTTTGCAGTCTCCTTTTAGTAACCTCCCTGCGGATCCCAGCTCTCTCGGTTTGAATGGGATTGTTTATACCCACAGAAGGGACCCAGCTCTTCTCTTTCTAATTTGTTTTGTTTGTTTGGTGTTTCAGCTGTTAAAACACAAAGTAGTAGACATGACGATGTTCTTTTCTGTCTTTTCTTCGGTCTCCACTTTTACTAGCTTGAATTTGGCACTGAAATCCTATTTGCTTGCAGGGATTCTAAGATGCAATTTCAAATCATGTTCCATTTTAATCATAAGTTATGTTTCTCTCTACCCCCCGTTCCCATTTGTCTTTTAGATAAAGAAATTGAATACGTTTGGTGGTGATGTGTCCAAGCTGTCCCTGGCAGACTCTTTTCTGTACTGCTTAATTCAGGTGCCAAAGTAAGGATTCCCCGTCATTGTTCTTTACAGGGGAAAGTTCTTAGACTAGTGACATCAGATTCTACAGTTTGACTTTTTACTTTTCAGCTATTCGCTTCGGATTGAAGCCATGGTGCTAAAGAAGGAGTTTTTACCTTCTTGTTCTTCTCTGTATACGGATATAACAATTCTAAGAACGTCTATAAAAGGTAAGTCAGTGCATGATGCTTCATGTCGTTGGTTTTTATTAATTTGGGTAGAAGTTTATTAAAAAAAAAAAAAAAAAACCATTCTATTGAAAATTGAAATGCAAAGTCCCATTTCTGATACACTTTAAAAAAGGAAATGAGATGTTACCAGGGATGGCATTGAAGGTTTATCTACATTTGCTTCCCCCCTAATTAATTAGTTGATTAATTGACTAATCAATCAATCAATTAATTAGCACATTACCCACCCATAAGAGAAGGTTTCTTCCATCTCAGGCTGTGGAGTAAACCTTGCTGCTTGCAGCTCACCCTTGAGCCTCCGGTAGGTTAGCTCGGTGTGCGTGTGGTGTGCGTGTGTGCCTTTAAATGACTGAGATACCTGCAGTTGTTAAACCAGTTTGCAAACTGAGGTTAATCAGAAGGTGCACACGCTTGGGGTCATTTGCATCTCTCCTCCCAAACTCTGGCTTCTGTTGGTGTCTAGGACCCTGCTTTTCCAGAAGCTGACCCGGTTTCCTGACTCCTCCCAGAATCGTGTGACTCCAGGGTTCCTGGTGTCTCTCTGCCTCCGTTTCCTCCCCTCCAGACTCTTAGCAACTGGTGGGCTAACTGCTTTGGATAGGGGCGAGTTGGCCATTTCCATTTCTTTAAACAACTTGCTGAATTTTTGCTTACCCAGCTTGGATGGACTCCTCAGAGTTGCTCTGATGTCTCATTCCACAGGGGTGGGAGCTTGGCTTTGTGCCCTGGGTGACCCTGAGGACGCAGGCCCAGCCCATCTGCGTTTGCCTCCTCCTCTCCCTCCCTGACCCTCGCATTCTCTGGCATCGCCACCCTGACTTCCTCTCGCTCATTTTCTGGATTTCTAGTTATTGTGCAGGGCGGTTGATTCCTATTCGGTTTTCCGTTTAGTTGCTCCAGCCTATGCTGAGATACAATGTTTCTCTTTAGCCCATCATAGGTTCTTCATTTTAGAGAGGAGGCTAAGAATGAAGAATTTTTCTTCTTTCAATCTAGAGGCCTTTTAAAATTTCTTCCTGTACCAAGACTATTACAGCAACTAAAAGGGTATTTCCTCCTGTTCAAACAGAGATGGAAGAATATGTTTTCATATGGAGTCGGGCAAATTTGTGGGCATAGCGTAAACATTTCTTATCTGGTTACCCTTCAGAACCTGGCCTCCTTAGATAACACAATATAGGCAGTGATCCAAATGTAATTTTTTAAAAAGTAATACCAGACTTAATGGAGAATATTAACTTAAAAATATCATAGGTGACATTTTATTCTCTATATAGTGTCATTTTAATCACCAAATTTTTTTAGTCTTCCATATACATTAATAATTGTTAGTAGCGTTTATTTGTGTAGGTACATGTATAAAAGATTCTGTGGTTAAAGAGCTAGTTTACCAATATATTACAATGATGAGTTTCTTTTATAGCCTTTAAGCCAGTCTAAATGAAATGTATCACTTTGAATAAAACAGGAAGATTCTGAGTACCTGGCCCCTAAGGAATGATGCTTTGCAACTTATTTACATGTTACTTCAGCCTGTTTATTTTTATCTCCTCAGAGCTCATTGACTAAGCAAAATGTTGCTCGCTCTTAGTTTTCTTCTTTTTTTTTTTAAATTGATTTTAGAGAGCACAGGAGAGAGAAAAACATCAATGAGGGAGAAAAATATCCATTGGTTGCCTGCCATCCATGCCCCAGCCCAGAGGATCAAACCCCAAACCTGGGTATGTGCCCTGACCAGGAATGGGACCCCAGACCTTCTGGTACACAGGACGACACTCCAACCCACTGAGCCGCACCTGCCAGGGTGCTCGCTATTAGTCTTTGTATTCCATAAATATAGTCTCAAAGGTTAGTGGATATAAAGGGAAAAAAGAAAGAACTGCTGACAGAAAATTTATTCCTGTAACACAGTGTACCACTTCTTGTAAGGCTCTGCGCTTTCCACTACTTGAAAAATGTGATCACTGAAGTTCTTTTTGATGTTGAAGTGTGACACGTATTTGATCCCCAGTTCAGCACTAGGGTGTGGGTTGCCAGTAACAAACGCCGCCCGACATGTACCCCGGGATGTGCTGCTTTATTTTATTTTCTCAGTCCTTGTATGCGGTTCAGGGTCACAGCGCGCTCCAGACGCCCCTGAACCTGGGTGTGGCAGCCGGTAGCTGTCTTTTCTGCACTGAAGCTGGAGTCTTCTCTAAGGTACCACGTGTGTTCTTTTTGACAGAGCTGATGTCGTGCGAGGAGCTGCATGCGATACTACACTTGGTGCTACAGGCAGGAAACATCATGAATGCGGTAAGTAAAACTCCAAAAAATTAAAATGTTGCATTTCCAACTTGATTGGTCTGTCTAAAGATCTATGTATGTTTTTTTTTTTTCCTTTTGATTTGTCTTCTTTAGGGAGGGTATGCTGGCAATGCTGTAGGATTTAAACTGTCTTCTTTGCTCAAATTGGCAGACACAAAAGCAAACAAACCTGGGATGAACCTTCTGCACTTTGTTGCACAGGTATGGAAGGGATTAATATGGAGAGAGAACGTGCGTGAATCCCCAGGCAGGCCGTGAAGATTTTCCGAGGTATAAGGAGGTGTCAGAATTAGGGAAGGGCATGGAGGGTTCTCCGTGCAGAAGCTCTCTGCAGATTTGTGAGCTGAGCTGTGCCTGTGGCTAGAGGCCTGGAGGAGACAGGTGGAGTTAGGGGAATAAGGTGAAGGGTTGATGAGGAGAGACGATGAAGGATTCAGATCTCAATGCTGGGGAATTTAGATTTCTTGCTTTTGCACTGGGGAGCCAACTGGCATGACTAGCCTTTTGTGTTTGTTTTTAGGAAGATAAGGCAATGTGGAGGGTGGTTTGGAGTGGAGAGAGAACTAGAATTAGGGGTACCTCTTGGTGGCAGTTGGCACTCATTCATTGTTTGGCGAGAGCTGAGAATTAGACTAATGGCCGTAGGGATGGAGAGTAGAGGCCTGGGTGTTGAAACGTTTCTGGTGTTGACTTGACTAGATTTTTTACCGGTTATGTGTAAAGAGTAAGAGAGGCAGAACCATTAAAAGATCACTTCCACTGTTTTCCTTTGTGAAGTACGGGTTAGATTGCCTTCGCCAGCCCAGGCACTGGACTCTGAACGCTGTCCATCACTTCCATTTTTTAAAAAATTGATTTTAGAGAAAGGAATTGATATGAGAGAGACACATGTATCCATTGCCTCTCAAACTAGCCCCAACTGGGGGATCGAACCCACGACCTAGGTATGTGCCCTGATCGGGAATCAAACCCACAATTTTTTTTTTTTTTTTTCCCTCACCCGAGGATATTTTTCCATTTTTTGTACAGATAGAGTGGGAGGGAGAGAGAGGAAGGGAGAGAGAGAGAGAAACATCGACATGAAGGGACACATCGAGTGGCTGCCACCCGCACGACCAACCAGGGCCGGGGACAAACTGCAACCGAAGTACGTGCCCTTAGCGGGAACCGAACCCGGGTCTCTCAGGACCGCAGGCCGACGCTCTAACCGCTGACCCAAACTGGCCAGGGCCAAACCCACAATTTTGATGTACGGGAGGACGCTCCAGCCAACTGAACCACCCGGCGAGGGCTGTCACTTCCATTTTTGACCGGGTCTATGTGATGCCAAAGGAACTAGTTACAAAGTGGAAAATCAGCCAAGGACAATTATCTCTTTGTTGCTAAGTTATCTCAAGTAAGGAATTGTTCTGGTTTGTTTTTCCTTCATTGGATCGCTGTGTTGTTTTGACAGCAAACACAGAGACGCAGCTGTAGCCTGGGGAAGAGGCTCTGTCAGGCTCGATTCAAGTGCGAGCTTCAGGAAAGGGAGAACTGAGAGATTGTGACTTGTCATTTATGAGCCGAAATCCCTCAGCCAAGTTATTTAAACCTAAGACCCTGAATTTCTTCATCCAGTGACGAAGCTAGTGATTCCTCAACATCAGGCAACAGAGAGGGCTCACAGAGACATCCCAGAAAGTGCTTAGCTTAATATCGGGCATATAGTAAGCTCTCCATAAATAACACATTCGATTATTACTGTAGTCTTCAGAAGACGGGGGCCATGTTGGCCTCAGAACTCATTAAAAGTTAATTTTCAGGACGTTAAAACTAGAAAATATGTCCTCCCCCGACGTGCCTTGCAGGGAGGGAGTCTCCTGTTCCCTGCCCCTGTGGGGAAGTTTCCAGAGTTGGTAATTGGTCCCTTTATTACCTGCCTTCCTCGTACCCTGTGAACAGATGAAGAATCCAGACTCTCCATGGCTTGTGCTCCTTCTGATTAAACTCAGGTTGCAAACTGGTTTAACAGCTGAAGGTATCTCGGTCATTTAAAGGCACCCTGATAGGTATGGCTGGTATTTAAACAGGATCTATTGGATTCTCTGAGAAACAATGGGCCCTGCTAAGCTGCCACCTCCTTCCAGTGAGTTTTCAGGCAAATTCATCGTATTTCATGTCCGCATCAGTTGCTCTGGGAAGTTCAGTGTATCTTGAGAGCTGCGTCATTCTGGTAAACCTTACTAAGAATATCAGAGGTCCTGTCTCAGTGAATTGCTTTGAATGTATCAAGCGTAAAAAGGGGAACATTTTAAGTTTAATTTTGTGATTCCTTTAAGCCTGAGAAAATTATTTCCTTTCAGTCCTATCTATTTAGTGAGAGAAAATTCTGGTTTTGTTTCAGGAAGCCCAAAAGAACGATGCCGTTCTTCTAAACTTCTCTGAAAAATTGCATCATGTCCAGGAGGCTGCTAGGTAAGCAAGGAAGACAGACGTGAACTGTGAAGATTTAAGGGTTTTGTTTTTGTTTTTTTATTTATCCTCACCCAAGGACATTTTTTGATATTTTGTTCAGATAGAGTGGGGGGGGGAGAGAGAGAGAGAAACATCGATGTGAAAGGGACACATCGAGTGGCTGCCACCCACACGACCCAACCAGGGCCGGGGACAAACTGCAACCGAGGTACATGCCCTTAGCAGGAACCGAACCCAGGTCTCTCCAGACCACAGGCCAATGCTCTAACCGCTGAGCCAAACCGACCAGGGCAGGGGTTTTGTTTTTTTAACTACCTTCTTATGAAAACTGATTTATAACTTCTGGATTCAAGTGTAAACTTTAAAAAGGTTTGTCTTGTTGAACTTTCCAATCTCCTTTTCATTTGTTTAGAGGTGTGTGTGTACGCCTTTGGAATTTGGGAGTTTTGAAAAATTAATCCTTAGTTTTAATCTAAAAAGGACTTATTGCTGTCTATTCTAATGAATATCATCAGTGTAAAAAAAAAACAAATATATATATATATATTTATGGATTAAGAACTTCAAATCCCTCCACACCCAAAAGATAAAGCTCAAACAACACAGCCTATTAGCTTGGGACCTGGTATATCATCAGTCAGACTTGCAGGCCATACATCACTGGTAGAATCTAACATGGTACATTTATTTTCTATTACATTAGAATTTGGAACCATACCAAGGGCTGTGAAAGGATTTTGTTTTAAATTAGTCACTCTGCTTTACAGAGAAACTATCTACCAAGCATAAAACTCTATTCACAACACTCTAATTTGCTTCTGATTCTAATGTAGACGTGTGGGGTTTTTTGTTTTTTATCCTTACCCAAGGACATTTTTTCCACTTTTTGTTCAGATAGAGTGGGAGGAAAAGAGAGAGAGAGAAACACCCATGTGAAAGGGACACATCAAGTGGCTGCCACCCGCATGACCCAACCAGGGCCGGGGACAAACTGCAACCGAGGTACGTGCCCTTAGCGGGAATGGAGCCCGGGTCTCTCTGGACCATAGGCCAACGCTCTAACCGCTGAGCCAAAACGGCCAAGGCAATGTGTATTTTAATGTAGCTATAATCTGTGTATATGTGCTCTCTTGAGTTCAAAGTAGTAAATGTTAAAAAAAAAAAAAAAAAAAAAACTAACTTGCCCTGGCTGGTCTGGCTCAGTGGTTAGAGCGTTGGCCCGCACACTGGGGTGTCCCGGGTTCGATATCCACTGAGGGCACGCACCTCGGTTGCAGTTCGTCCCAGGCCCCGGTTGGGGTTGTGAGGGTGGCAACCAATCGATGTGTCTCTCTCACATTTATGTTTCTCTCTCTCTCTTCCTCCCCCTCTCCCTCCCGCTCTATCTGAAGATAAATGCGAAAAAATAAAACAACAACTAGCTTTTCGGGGGGGGGGGGGAAATGTTCTGATTTGTATTACTTGCTGATTTCCATGGTGTAAATACTGCTACCATGGCTGATTTCAAGCTAGCACTGTGGTGTTACTAAAGTGCAGCTGGGCAGAGGTACCTATACCCACGGCCACCCCTTGTGATCTGGCTTCAGGGGACACCACTTCATCAACCTCATTCATGGGTTTATTTGCAATAGATTTTATTGCACATACTCATTATCCAAGTGACTCTGTCCATTTAGGACACAAACCACATGCATGAGCACATGAACCACAGCTTTTCAAGCCAAGCCCTGCCACTGGCCAGTGTCTCAGTGTTATGACCGTGAACATCTAACCGCAGATTACATGCCTTTCCCAAGGTGAGATTATCAGTCCGAAGGTGTGAGCAGTTCATAGTTCATGTTTACAGATCGCCAGATTATTCCCCCCAAAGAATGAGTATCTTTCTTATACGATATAAACTGTTTTGGTTTTGAATTAACTGAAAGAAATTTGTATGGGACTATATTTCCTCTGACTAGTATAGAAATGTTACCAAGAAAGAGAAATAAAGAAATAACCATTGCATCTTTGAACGGATATTTCCGGTCAGAGTTAGATGGGGAGGTTTAGCTATTGTCTTAGGAAAAAAACCTCTTCGGTAAGGCCTGCAATGGAAGGTGAAGTACAAACTGACCAAAGATGGTGACCATTGCAGGTAAAAGAATTTATGGCAAAAAGCAAAGTTCGACTTGACAATGGCAGCATGAAAGCATCCTAAGTGTATGAATTTGCTAGCTGAATTCCCCCTGGGTTAGAGGCCCGTCTGTTCACTTTACTGGGTGACAAAAGCATCGTTTCTGCTCTACTGATCTGGATTTGGTATAAACAGCGAAAACCTTCGCAGAAGGGTTTGTTTTGTCTAAAGCAGAGTCTTCCCCTGGCTGTCAGCAGCCAGCATCGCGTCTGCTCAGTGTCCACCTGTCACCCTGCACGTCAGATCGTCCACACACGCTGCCTTGCTTTTCACGGGTCAGAGCTTTTGCCTGTGTGTTAAGTGGCCAGAGGAATCATATCTGAGTCCTGCTGGCTCTTAGTTTTTAATGCTTCTTGCATAAAGGTGTTCAGACAAGCCCTGTGATTTCGGTTGTCTCACCAGCAAGAACATAGTCACGTGCAGCCTGTTCTCTTTGGCCAGTGTGTGTCTTTAGGAAGGAATCTCCTCTTAAAAACCACCATGGGGGGAAACTCTAAATACAGGGACTGTAGGGATAGGTCCATGTAACTGCAAGGGCTCCCTCCCCTTCTGGTTTTTCTTTTTACAAATTACTTTAATGTCTTAGCTTAATCGAACACCCTTTATAACTGCATCTACATTCAAACGGATATATGACAGTCGATTTGTGTTTCGACCTTTTTTTTTTTTTTTTTTTTTACGTTCAGTATTATTTTGTAGTTTCAGGTGTATCTCCCCTTCTGTTTGTAAGACTGGCCAGTGGGTAGAGCTGTTTGACTGCCCACGTGACACACGGCCTCGCTGTTGCCCACTGTCCCCTTCTTCTTCCAGATTATCTCTGGAAAACACGGAGGCCGAGCTGCACTCGCTGTTTGTCAGGACCCGATCTGTGAAGGAAAACATCCGGCGGGATGATGAACTCTGCCAGCAGATGGAAGATTTCCTTCAGGTCTGTGGGTGATTCAAGCCTGGCCCTCTAATTTCTTCTGCCAGCAGCTCCCCTGAGGCTGGTTAGATTTGCATGGGTGTGTTTGGGGAACCAGTAGGTTCCCATTCATATTTTTCCCCCCAGTCAGTAAAAGGAACTTGGTATTCCAATGCCCATTCTTTGCTGGATTGATTTTGAACAGAAGATATTGAATGTGGTCTCCACGTACTAAGGCAGCTGTCAGTTAGTGGGCCTCTGTCTATCACAGATCGATGTGCACAACTGGGCCGCACTGGAATGAATTGGTACCAGTGTAAGGTGTCTACTGCCCCTGACAACCCGCGCTGTGGTTGTAAGTCATGGTTTAGGAGTTCCCAACTCCCCGTTAAACCGTGGACCCCAGAACTGAAGTTCCACAGGAATCGTAGCCATACCTGAGAGCCTGGGCTTGTCTTTGTTAAAGACACAGCTGCGTTTTGGCATGTTTTATAATGAGAGCAGGAGAACATGATAGCCGTGCCTATCACCACCCAGAACACATCAGCCCAACAGGGTGTGTCGGGAGCCGCTCCGAATAACAACAGAAAACAGCCGAGTGGACGTGTTTGTGACAGCTCACTGTGACTCACTAATCATCTGGTCTGACATACTCCTTTTATCTTCCTTATTTAAAGAAAAAAGTGGCACCTCCTCATGCTTTCAGTCTTCAGGGAAATGGTGTGCCACCTGACCCGGCAGTGCTCTGGGATTAGCGAGCTGGGAGACCCGTGGCAGGGCTGCCCCGGCCCCCGGCGGGAACGCTGTGCTCCGGAGGCTGTTCCAAACGACGCCTCTGCTCGTTTACTTCTAATTAAGTTCCAAGTGGTACGAGCTCCAGCTTCCATCAGCAAACGTTTGCTTTTGTTCGGCTCTTTGGGGATTTTATTTATTTTTAATCCTCCCCCAAGGATATTTTTTCATTTATCTTCAGATAGAGTGGGAAGGGGAGAAAGAGAGAGAAAGAGAAACACCGATGTGAGAGAAACACATCGATTGTTTGCCTCCTACATGACCCCGACCAGGGCCGGGGACCAAACCGCAACTGAGGTGTATGCCCTTGACCAGAATCAAACCCACGACTCCCTGGTCTGCAGGCCAAACCGGCCAGGGCTGGGATTTTATTTTTATTATTAAACATGTGTTCTGTGTTTTTTTGGAAACATAACTAGACTAAGTTTCCCCTTCAAGTGCACAGATTTTTCTCCAAGCGGAAGAATAAAGCAAACACCAGCGCAGAGACGTGCCGTGGGTAGAAGACACTCAGCAGTGGGCACATTCAGACAAATGGAGCAAAGCCAGAGAGTCAAGGGACCTGGAATTCTGGGTGCCTCATTCCCCCATTCTTATATTAAATATTAGTATTGTAGACTAAATAGCTGGACAGAAAGGTTTTCGATGAAAAGCAGCTCTGTCTATGCTGCACCCCGAGACTGCCCTTCAGAGGCAACCTTGTTTTAACTAAATGCTTCCTTTGGTCATTTTTATCTCTGTAAATAAAATCCCACCCAGTTATTTAGTTTTCTTTTTAAAATTCAATTTCTTTAAATGGGGCGGGGGGGTACAATCTTTTAAGGTAGCTTGGGGTCGGGCCAGGAAGGGCTCTGAATGCCAATCTGGAAACTGGACCCGGCGCTCAGAGTCGTGGGGAACCGCGGACGGCTGCGGGGCAGCAGAATGACAGGACCCCATGTGCTCTGCAGGTCCGTTTCAGGCTCTCGGCCTTTCGAGCAGAAATACCGAGTAAGCGGGTTTGGAACTCTGGTCCCTGGCAGACAAGTCAGAGCCACACGGCTGCCCTGTTGTCATCTGTTTCGCCAGTGCAGCTTGGGACTCTCTGTTCAAGGCCCTAATCGGTGGGCAGGGCTCAGAAAATAATAACTCCGAGCGCGGTGACTTGTCAGATCCATGTTCAGAATATGTCACTTTCCCACGTCCCGAGGGTGGCGGCCGTGTGTTTAAGGCATTCCTTCCCCTTGTCCTCTCAGTCCCCTCGGACCCGAGTGATGACACACACGAGGAAGAGTAAGCATCTCTCTAGATTCTCGGCAAGGGTCCTATTTTTCTGCAGTTGAGTTATTCTTGGCTGGAGTCCATGTTTTCTTCTGCGGAAGAATGACAGGGGGATTTATACTTTCATTAATACCCTTCTCTCCGTAAAGAAAATACAACATGAACGCACACACTGCCTTGGGCTGCTGACTCAGATGGTTACTTTCTCTGGTATTTGGTTTCCGGCAGCCTCTTGAGTGTGTTTGGTGTAAGACGAGGGCTTTTGAGGGGGAGGGTGTGGAGCGCAGGGGAGGTGACGCGTGTTCTCGGGATCTCTCTTGAGGTTCTGGGGCTTCACCTCCTAGGCCTGTTCCCCCACTCAGAACGAACTTGCTCAGATATGAGTCTCCATAAAAACGTGAGTGGCCCTGGTAGATCCCAACCTGGAAGGACCGAGCTCGCCGGAGGAAAGCAAGCTCTCTGGCTCCCACTTCTTGGTCGAGGCAGTACCTGAACCCGTGGGGCCTTGGGGACTTTGTCCTGGAAGAATTAGGAGAAAATGAAGAAGTAAAGAGGATGCATTTGTAGAGGGCAGTAATTCCTAACTGTGACCACCTGTCAGAATCTCCCGGAGAGTATTGATAAGATGTGAATGCTGGGTCCACCCCAAAGCTACTTGGACTGCAGACACGGCACCCCAGCTGACGTAGATAAGCACCCCTGGAGGAGAAGGCCTGGCTGGGGCCTTCATCCAGGCACAAGGGCTTCCGTCCTGAGGGGTGACCCTGACCCTGACATAGCTCACTTGGGATTAAATTAAAGCCCCTGTCAACAGGGCCACTCATCAATAGAACAGGTGACTTCTGGGAGCCTAAAGTATACTCTTGGCCAGGATACAACCCAGTTTTAAGAGAAGGAAGAACAAATACAGAATATAACTATGAATACTTATATTAATATTAATCAAACCAACTGCACACCCATGTCGCATTTTCAGCGAACATTACGTTAGTGGCATTCTGCAGGTTCGGGCCCTTCAGTCTCTTCTGTTGCTCCCACGCCTCACACGGGAGTTCACCTGGCTTCCCCAGACGTTTTGTTTGGGTTGAATAGATTTTCTTCTTGGCTCTGAGTGCACTGAACTCACAGTAAGCCTCCCCTTTCCCGAGACCTGGGACTCACCTTCCCCGCGCCGGGCTGTCCGCCGGCTGTTGACGTCGGCGTGCCCGTGGTTGTTTTCCTGCAGTTCGCCTTAGAAAAGCTGACGGAACTGGAACACTGGAAACGAGAGCTGCAGGAGGAGGCCCACGCCCTCATCGATTTCTTCTGCGAAGACAAAGAGACCATGAAGCTGGACGAATGCCTTCAGATATTCCGAGACTTTTGTACCAAATTCAGCAAAGCGGTTAAGGTATGACAGATGGCATCTCTGGGCTTCCTGAGTTGATTTTCCTTTTTCTTCCTCCAGACCCAGCCCCCTGCTCACGGCAGAAGGATGGGTGGGCATTTCTGGGGTTTCAGGAAGGTCGGGCCCAGGCAGCGGAGCCGGGCTCTTGGTTGGGTTGAGTGGGAAGTGGTTCTGCCATCCCAGCCCCGAACGCTTCCATATCCGCAGGTGTCTAGCATTTGGCAGCCTCTGCAGCTCTAGGCTCATACCGACTCTCACTTTTATGCCCTAAGAGCATTTTGTTAGTAAGGTTTATTTACAATAGCGGTCGCTGTATTAAAAAGTCTCTTTGAAGATCCCGAATGTCTTTCTCACCGTCTCCCAAGGAGAAATATCCTCTCCCAGGAGACCTTTGTCCATGGGGTGACCAGAGCCCCTCTCTGTTTTGAGCACTGGAGCCCTCACCAGGGGACCCGGTTGTCCTCGGCCAGGGCAGACCTGGGGATTCTGAGATGCCTAGGGAGCGCGTGCCGCTGCCTGACATACTTTGCCCTCGACAGTTAGTTCTGATCATCTCTGAGTTCCCTGCAGAAGCCAGAAAGCCCTCTGGGTTGCTTGGCTTTGCCAATAAAACTTTCATTTCATTTAAAAACATAACAACTCACCTCCCTTGATCTCGGGTGTTGATAAGGAACCTAAGGCTTGTGCATCATCTCTTCCTCTATATTTCAAAAGCAAATTTGTCCAGAGCTGAATTTCTCTGAGGGACTGGTCACATTTCTCTCCAGCCCTAAGTGAGTAGCCCAGAGTTCCTTGATTTCTCGGGTCCTCCCTCCTCCATTCAGCTAAGAGAAAGCGTTTCAGCCTGTGGCCACACTCACTCTCCCTGTCCAAGCAGTGAGCTCAGCAGGGGAAGGCGGAGGTGGGTGGGAGATGCCAAATTGGCTCTTTCTGAGGCCCTCACTCCTAGTCAGAATCTATAGCTCTCGCGACCACCTGTGTGATACTGTCAGCCCAGCCGTCCTGAGAGCCAGGAGCTGGCCTCCACCCCGCACAGGCAGCCAGCCAGAGCCACGGCCTCCTAGAAACTTGGACACAATGTCCACCGTTTGAGGAAAACTTTCAAGTAAAAAGTGCTCCCGATAACAGATTTGAGTCGTGAGATCCACATATTTCCATGACACGAATATATTTAAAGTGCACAGCCCGGCGATCAAGGGCTTGGTTGTGCGCATTTGCTCTGATCCCATTGTTGGGGGGTGGGGGGGCGGCCTGGAGCAGGGTGCAAGGTGGAGGATTGGCAAGGCAAATCCTCCTCTGACTGTGGGGAGGGCTTGGTTCGTGAGGGACCCTGTCATTTCTTGTGTTTTTTGTTTTTATACCAGGGAGTAGTCAGAGAACAGATTTGAAAGCCTCTCTTAATATCTTGGGTGTATACTTATACATCCATGTCCTCATTAGGGAGAATGTGCTGCACAGAAGTGTGTGTGTGTGTGTGTGTGTGTGTGTATGTATCCAGTCAAGAGCCAAATTGGGTTTCCTTGGAGTTGAGGGGACAGTGCCTTGACTAGAAAGTTGGAAGTTGGGCCCAGGGATCCAATGACAACCTTAGACAGACTTTGGGGGCCAGGCGGAGTGTGCTTCTCTGGTGGAAGAACCTAGCTGCCCCCACCCGCACATGCAAACTCGACAGTGACGCTGTGACCCAGGTCTCTCCACACGTGTATCTCTCTCTCCCACCCGTGTGTATCTTGGGGAGGTGGCCCTGGAATTGCACGTGGGTCCCCTGTATCTGATGCATCTTTGGGCTTGTGTCCATCCCTCACTCAGGACAACCACAACCGGGAGGTGCAGGAGCAGAGGCAGCTGCGGCGGCTTCAGGAGCTGGAGCAGAAGCGGCGCTCCTGGGCAGCCGGGGAGCTCGGGGGATTCGGCCGCAGCAGCAGTGAGAATGACGTGGAGCAGCTGACCAAGAAGGATTCAGAAGACCTGCCCCCTTTCCTGCACCGCAGGCCGGTCAGCCCCTCCTACCGCCGCCCCAACACCCGCCGCTCCCGCCTCTCCCTGGGCACCTCCGCCGACCGGGAGCTGCTGACCTTCCTGGAGAAGTCCCTGGGCAGCCCCGAGGAGGCCAACAAGTTCAACAGCCTGCCCTGGAGCAGCCCCCGGCAGTGCCGGCCCGCGATGGCTTGGCTGGAGTCTGGGGAGCCAAGGGACCAGGACGCCAGCCGCACACAGAGACCTGGGGCCTCGGCGGGCCAGGAGGAAGCCCCTGACCCACCCTCAGCTTCGTGTGTCCAGCTCCTCGCCCCCCGGATCGAGGAACCTGCTCCAGTTTTGCTCCGAACTCGGCGCAGTGGGCTCAGCATGATCCAAAACAGGAACAGTGAGCCTGTGGGCCTGGCGCCTGCCTGGTCCCCTCCACTCTCACCACTGACTCTGGGAATTAAGGAGCACGAGCTGGTGACTGGGCTGGCCCAGTTTGACCTCCAGGGTCCCAAGGACCCAGAGGAGATGCCCCAGCAGGACCCGACCAACTTCACCCCAGGGGAGCTGGCGTCTCCGGGAGACGGGAGCTTGCAGCCCCTCGGTGCTGGCGCTGGTGCTGACAGCAGTAGCCTGACTCCCATGGGTACAGGTGCCCAGGGGAGTCCCAGCCCAGCCCCAGAGGGTGACGAGGCTACCCCCGATGAGCCCAGCATCGACCCTGAGAACAAAGATCCTGGGCCCGTGTTCTCCATCTCGGACACCACCGACTGCTCGCTGACCTTCGACTGCTCAGAGGAAGCTGACTCCAGGCCTGGCGATGGGGGGCCGGGGGAGGCCGGTGAAGGGGATGGCTCTGTGTCCCCTGGAGCGGGGGAGACAGGTGGCAGCCCAGTATCTCCTCACCCTCTCTCCAGCCCCGCTGGGGAGACCCCTGTCCCTGCCTCTGTGAAGAGTGGGCCCAGCTGCAAGGGTGGCCTTTCCAGGGACAGGCCCTCCAAAGGGAAGGATGGGATAGCACCAAAGAGAAACTCCCTCAAAGAGGCGTCCCAGGGGGCGCCCAAGCCCGGGCCGGTGTCGCGAGGCCAGGGGGCGGCGCCCAAGGGCGTGCGGACCTTGACGTCCTCGGAGAGCGAGGGCATGCGCAAGGTCGTGCCCATCTCCAGGGCCAGCCGGGGCTCCTCTGGCTGGAAGCAGCCCCCTCGGGAGCCCCCCAGCGCCACAGACGAGCCGTGGTCACGCCAGAACTCTGTGAAGGGCCCCTCGGACACGTCACCCAGGAGGTCCTCGAAGGGGGCGGGGGCGGGAGCCGAGGTGACCGAGGACCAGCGGCCACCTCGAGGGAGGGTCGGCTCCTGCGGCGCCCGGCCCGGGAAGGAGCCCGCCCTGCAGTCCAGGGGCTCCCTGAAGAAGCCCAGTGCCAAGCCCCTCCGGAACGTCCCCAGGCAGAAGCCCGAGGAGATTAAGTTCTGCCGCTCCAACTCCCAGGGCCCCCAGAGCCCCCAGAGTCCCCAGAGCCCAGAAGAAGAGCCCAAGTCCCCTCCACCGGCCCCCGGGGTCCCCCGTGTCCCATCCCACCTCCCGAGCTTTGCCCGGAACACAGTGGCCTCGTCATCCCGGTCCCTGAAAACGGATTCTCTCCCCGTGACCAAGGCCCCCGGCCTCACCCGGGCAGTCTCCCAGCGGCAGCTGAGGGTGAAGGGCGGCTCTGAGGATGCCCTCGCCAAGGACAGTGGCACCTTGCGGCGGGCCAACAGCAGCCGGGCCCCCAGGAGGTATCCCGAGTCTCCTGAGGGTCCCGGTGCCAACACGGAGGCCTCTCTGAAGGGCAGAGGGGCTGGGGAAAGAACCTCCTTCAGACAGAAAAACTCCAGTCGGACCACACTGGGGAAGATCCTTAATCCTTTGTGGAAGTGATGGGTGCCTGTCCTCACCTCCCGGGGTTACCCTGAGGGCTGACGGCTGGGATAGGCCAACACCAGGTGTCTTTATCCACATCAGGCAAATCTCATGCCACCTGCTCGTGCTCATGTCATTGAGGGTATGATCCAGGAGGCTTCTGGACTGCAACCTGCTGTCGAGTCCCCATCCACCTGTCACTGGCCGGCACCTGCCACACCCACCCCTAGCTGTGCGCGGGCAAACCCTCTCCCCCCAAAACAAAGACTCAGGCCTGCAGATGGCATTCTTATGTAACAAGTTAAAAAAAAAGGAATTTTGGCCAATTTTCCCCACATCAAAGGCTTATTTTTCAATATAAAATTTGAATGTTTTAGTTGGTTTCTTTTGCAGAGTGAATAATACCTCCTGGGAAAAAAGACAGAAGAAAAACTGTTTTGTATGAAGATATTTTAATTTCCCTGTGTTCCCTGGCCTCCGGGTTCTGCCTGCCCACCCTCTGTCCATTGCTGGCAACTGGACTTCTCCACAGCCTCTGGTGTCCTGTGGTTGGCACCTCATCCTTGAAGACTCTTCCTTGTTCACCTCTCCCTGCGTGACTTGGGGTGAGGGTTTGCGTGTGAGCAGGAGGGAAAGTGAGGTTGGCGGACAGAGATCGGTGCTCCTGTGTGTGCAGTATGGGCACCGTGAGCAGAGGGACGTGCACTTTGGGGGCCCCGTGGCTAGAGGGGAGCCCCCCTGCAGACAGGTGGCAGCCCGGGGAGAATGCTGGGTCTTTCAGAATTTAGAAGTGCCATATTTTAATGGAAAGACATCAGGGGCTGTTCAACTGATCACACCTCTTCCATGTTTTCCCATTTGTGTTTCTTTTGTACAACTGAGTGAAGGCTGCTATGACTTGTGTTCGCTCTAGTTACAGGTGAGATAAACCTTTCCGTCTCCCAGTCCTTTTTCCCCTCCTCTCTTTGCCTGCTCCCAGCCCCTTCCTTCTTTTTTTTTTTTCCCTCACCCGAGGACATTTTTTGATATTTTGTTCAGATAGAGTAGGAGGGAGAGAGAGAGAAACATCGATGTGAAAGGGACACATCAAGTGGTTGCTTCCCACACGACCCAACCAGGGCTGGGGACACACTGCAACCGAGGTACGTGCCCTTAGCGGGAACCGAACCCGGGTCTCTCTGGACCGCAGGCCGACGCTCTAACCGCTGAGCCAAACCAGCCAGGGCCAGCCCCTTCTTTTCTGATGTGACCTGGAGCCTGGAGTATCTGTCTGTATCTATCTCGCTCAACAATGATACTTTCCAATGTTGACGTCTGTTCCTTGGTACAGCGGTTTTGAAATCCTGAGAAAAACCAAATCAAGTTTTTAAAAACAGACTAAAAATGAAATTGCTTTTAGAATAATGTATGTCCTCAGGAACATTTTGGGGGGAAAAAAAAACAAAACAAAAGAAAGGGGAAAATGTACTTTTTCTACCTGGTGCTCACTTCACTCTTTCCCTCTGCGACTTGTTGGGAAATGGGGGAATTCTTGAAACTTTGTTTTTTAAAAATTGCCTCCCTTTTTCTCCACTTTTGGTCACTTATTAGTGAAACCTCAATTCAGATCCAACAGTGGTAGACAGATTTAGGCAAATAAGATGTGTTACAGTCTCCCTCGTATACAATGTTGCCTTCCAACCAAATTCATGGGAAAGTCAACTTTGATAAGTCTGCTAAACTAAATGGATAAACTTTCTGGTTTAAGAAGTAAGGCACCCGACCATAAAACCTCTTACAAAAATAGCCTTGAGTAGGTATTTCCAGGGCTCCACAGAGCTGGTTAATGGGAATCCTGAGCTGTTTTTCACCATCTCAAAAAGCTGAGAAATAATACATTTAACCATGCAGACAACAGGGTTCAAAACATAGGGCCCATGGGTGGATGGGAAATGGATGAAAGAGGTCAAAAGTTTGTGGATAGTGATAAGGTCAGGATACCTAAGTGGGATCCTAGGGAACAGGTTCAAGTCCCCGTTCTACCACTGATGCCACGTAACTTGGGAAAGTCACTCCCCACCCCCCAAGCCTCTGTTTCCCAATCTGTAGAAGTGGGGGCATGGCCTCCATGATGGTCTCCAGGGGTCACAAACAACCAAGGACCCAACTCTGCCCTGGGATCAGCTTCTCGGAACCAACCCCGTCTCGACAACAGAGGCCTGGAACAGGCCTGGCCAGAAGCACCCCCGAAGGAGCGGTTGCTTTGACATCGAATAAGCTGAGTTTTCTGAGAAGTGTTTTATTTTACTTGGCCCTATGGACAACTTCTGTGTTTGCATCTGTGCGAGCAGGTGATCATTCTATTACCTTTTATCGGTAGTAAGCTTGGAAAAAATAATTTAAGTATATAATGGAGAAATGTAAATAAGTTTCTATATAAAATCGTTTAAGATGAACTGAATGTATTTAAAGGTCCACATTTATATGTTCTTTTACGTAACACGTAGTTGAATAAAGTTCTTGTTTATGGGACTGTGGTTTTTCCTCAGTGTGTGTGTGTGTGTGTGTGTCCCTGGCAGGAGAGGAAGGCAGGATGCGGGAGGTAGGGGAGGGTGGGAATACAAGTCTTGGTCTCAAAAGGTTCAAGAACCAAAATTAGGCGGTTGGTGTGTCTTCCTGGTAGCACAGAATCTGCATGTAGGCAGGGGCTCTGTGCCAGGCCCGTGGGGAAGCAGGCATGCATCTGCTGTGCAGGCCGCCGGAGGAATGTTCGGCACCTCGCACATGCTCGCGTTATTCCACGTTTGGGGCCAAGCTTTGTGTAATCTCCAAGGGCCGGCAAGTCTGGATCTGCCGCTGTGTGTCCTCGTGTGTTTTGGCTCAGGACACTGTTGGGAAATCAGCTCGCCTCAGCTGCCTCAGGAATGAGCAGGGGGGGAGGTGGAGTTTTATTTCAAATGCAGGGTTGATGCTTCTTTGAAAGGAAAGGTGGGGTCCTGCATAAGCTCTGTCTCATACCTTGGGGTTTCCTATCAGGTTTTCGTCCTAACTACCTTCCTGCTTTATCTGGAAACGGCTGGAGGAATAACCCTGGGTCAGGCAGCTGCGGATGGGAGCGTAGATAACGTCCTTGTGAGTTGCTACTTGCCCTGTGACATTTAGAACCTGGTTTTGCCTGTTCAGGCCTTTTATTTTCACAGTGGGTCTCAAGCGGTTTTCTTTTGACTCTTATTTTAAGGCTTTCCTCCCGAAGATAGGTGTTAGGTTTAAAGGGCCCACAGTTCCCTAATTGTCCATTCCAGATATTTCTGAATATTTACATATTATGGTGAGAAGTTTCTGAATAGTTTGGTAGATAGAACTCCTACTTGAACTTTCCGAGGTGTGCACTCCGCCACCTGCCTCCAAGGGTACAGAATCCCTCCATTTTTGCAATTTCACAGAATTTTATATTGAAAGTTAAACTTTATTCTTAATTCCTCATGATACCCTTGCTTCATGCTGCAGTCTTGCCAAAAAAAATTTTTTTTGCTGTTGGTATGTGTCCCCAAACACCTATAAGCATCAAATGTGAGTAAGGGACATTGCGTCTGGTCAATAAGTACTTTATTTTATTTTATTTTTCTTTATTGATTTTAGAGAGAGAGAGGAAGGGAGAGGGGGAGAGAGAACATCTATTGGCCACCTCCTGCATGCCCCCCACTGGGAATTTGGCCCACAACCTGGGCATGTGTCCTGACCGGGAATCAAACCAGCGACCTCTCGGTGCATGGGTTAATCAATGCTTAACCACTGAGCCACACCGGCCGGGCTCAATAAGTACTTAAGATTATTTGTGCCTTGAGCACAAACAAATGGGAGGCAGTGGGTCTGCGAGTCATGTTACTGAGCATCAGTGGGGTGACAGTGCTCAGCTGGGACTGAATCCGTGGCAGGGTTGAAAACAGCCCAGAGGAACCTCTCCCTGGGGAGTTTCTCATCTGCAAACATCTTCCAGTGGAATGTCCTAGGGTTCACTGGATCACCTCAGTGAAGATAAAAGGAACATTCGTGCAGTTGAAGATAGTGGCTTTTCTGTCTTCCAGGCCAGAGCCTAGCAATTAGGCCTTTGGCTTCCTGGTTGGTAGGTAGGCAAACTGGACCCCACTGCGAGAGAGATCAGGACCCCAACCAGCCCTCACAGTCTACTCATCCATGGGCCCTTGACTGAGGGCCCACCATGGGCCTGGCACAACCTGACTGTCACTGTGGAATGAAGATGGCTGAAACTTTTGAGGAGGATGCTGCTTGAGGTCCCTGTGGGTGCATTCATGCCCGACCTTTGGAATCAGGGCCTGGGCTTTGCCCCAACCTCCTCAGTGCCATCGGAGGGCCAAGTCGTACAAGCAGCCCTAACTCACAGGCGGTGATGTTCCCGAGTTTGCTCGCCATCAGATAAGAGTTCAGAATCTCTTTCCCAGAGCAATGATGTCATGCATCAGAGGTAGGTTTCCAGACCAGCCTATTGGAAACCTGTTTAATCCACCCGTGGGTGGAACGTGGCTCCAACGTTTCTGTAGAAGAGAACCTCATCATGGCAGTGTTTCTAGAGGAAGACACCAGGGTGCCAGGAAATCCCCCTGCTTCAGGGCATCAGGGAGAAGCCACAGCACCGCAGCCTGAGCGAGGACTGTTCACTGTGTGCTGCCACATAGAAAATGGCCTTGCCACTCTGCGGGTCAGGCGCGGGGTCCCGTCTCCTAGGCCAACTCCGGTGCGTGTAGGCCATGTCTACCGGGCACTACCTGTCGTCTCTTTCCTCGGAGAGAGCACACGGGCCCAACTGAAAGGTTACACCCTCTGCTTTCAACTTCCCAGGAGGAGGGCTGCATGGACCGCACTCCCTTAGCTTCTGATGAGCAGCGAGGAGACGGCAGGGTGTGGGGAGGCGCCTGTGGAGCCAGGGCCATGGCCTCATGAGCCCCGGACAGCGGGGGCTGGGTCCGCGGGCCACCTAGTGGGAGCTGGACATTCCCTGCAGGTGGAGCTCTCCGAGGTGCCCCCGACCTCTGACAGTGTGGGAGCACCTAAGAGCTCCCACTTTCCCGCAGTGGGGCGTGCTGCAGTGTGTAGCAGAATCACCCGCAGTTGTGGGTGATTCCCACCCCCATCCCAGCCTGTTCCAGGTCAGCATCTCGTAGGGCCCCAAATTTGCATGTAAAGTGACTCCTGGTGGTTCATTTATCATGCTGCTGTTGAGAGCCAGTGGGCTGGAGACAGGCCAGAGGCTGGGGGTCAGAGGTGGGGCTACTGAGCTGTTCTCAGGCCCGAGCCCCTCCACGCCTGTCGGGCGACGCGGGTGTTTTCTCCTGAGCAGACCCTGACGCGCGCCGGTCGGAGAGAGAGCTGTGCGTTGGCAGCGGGGCAGGTGATCTGACTTGCATCTGGAAACAAGCACCTCCAATCACAGGCTTGGCCGCACCTTTGAGGCTGCAGGTCTGCGCAATGTAGCATAGAGCTTTGGGAACAAGGGCACCCGTGGGACATAGGAAGTGACACTTCATGAGTCTTGCAGTGGCTGTAATTCAGAATCTATGCGGCAGTTGGCTAACAAGTGCTGAACAGTGTCACACCCATCTGAGTGTCCGCGGTGAGATTTTTGACAGCAAAGCTGCTCTTTGGAGCCCCGTGCCCTGGCCTCTTGGAGCGCTCCACAGCTTCACAAGCATGACTTCAACTCAGTTCTTGGGAGCTCTGCCTAGTGGCTGCGGTTCCTTCTCCCTGTGTGTCCTGGGGCCAGGCAGGCCGGCATCTGTGCTGACCTCACCGGTTAGGAAGGGGGTGGGGCGCAGCTCTCCAGGGTGCTGACTCAGTGCAGGCTGGGAGCCGTGTGCACACTCACATGTGGCATTCAAAGTGCGGCAGCAGAAGGGACGCAGAAAGCACCCTCCCACCCCACCCCTTTTAGAGTGTGGAGTGTTCCCAGGAAGAGGACTGGGCCCCGTGCTTTCCGAAGCTGTCAGCGCAGATTAATG